AGTATTTTCATTTAAATATAAATAATACTTGGCAATTTCAACCAATTGCACTTTTACGTATACAATTTTTAACTGAACTGGTCAATTGCAGCATCGGTTCTTCTGGCATTTGCCAAAACTACCCTATGGCCTGTTCGCACCTAGTCATCTCAGTATAGGTCTGATCGAACCTACTATGGGTATGATTAAAAAAGGCCTTATCCACCAGTGACCGAATGGATAAAAATCACTGAACGCTGTAGTTTGTCGTAAATTCGCGATTTCCCAACAAAGAGATCGTAAGTTTTCTGGGTTTTCTTGACGTGTCTAAAACGTAAATAGTGGTCTGATTTTTCATAGAAAGTCCTTTGTCTCTCTAGAGACACCTCTCCTTGGTAGATTACTCGTGTACTGCGTTGCCGTATTCCATCAATCCAAACCAAAAACCAACATTTTCGTTGTTCACAGGACGGAAAAAATGACAAAATGAAAAAATAAATGGTTATACTGTATTAAGAATCTTTAAACTTACCTCGAACTATTAGTCTTGTAATTCCCGGATTTTCAAAATAGTAATTATCCAGACTATAAATTCCTCCGTCTCCAATTTGCAAGGAATTGAATTTTAAATACAAATCGGCCTTATCTCTACCAAAAAATCTATTCAAATATCCAGAAAACTCCTTTTCGTTCTTTCTCCAATTTCTAGAACGTATGCTTGAATTCATTTTTATTTCTGTTTTATCATTGATACTCTTTGTTATCGTAAACGAAGTTGGAAGAAATTGAGCTACATACGCAATTATTTCGACAAATAAATTTAAGAAAACAAACAAACAAATAAATATATCGAAGGTCGTTCAAAAAGTAATACCCGTTTTAGAATCAAAAAGTAACCAATAAAGATATATGAAAAATTTTGCATACCATAGGTTACTTTTCAACGTAATGCACGAGAAAAAGATCCACTCCTTGTCGACTTCACGTCGCAAGAAGACATGATAAATACTGATGTATGTCTTGTTACATTGAAGCTTAATACAGAATCGCAGAAGAGGTTTATTGTCTTATAGTGTCAACTCCTTACATTATAATGCGCGACCTCGTCTCGTCGAGAAAACAAAATAACTCGAAAGTTTTAAATGAAAAATTTTAGATCATCCATCCTACAGCCCGGACTTGTTCTATACAGCCATTTATCTTCTCGCAAAACTAAAAAATATTTTCGAAGGAAAAGACTTTGTGAGTAAGGAATAGTTGCAGGAAGCAGTCACTATGCATTTCTGAATGCCCTGGCGGCGATGTACTGTACATTGCAATACAAAAATTTGCACATGGATGTCCAAAATGATTACGTGGAAAAGTAGCTTATGGTATGTAAATGTAAAATATAAAAGTGTTTTCGTAAATCTTTATCAATTCGTTTTAATTCTAAAACGGATACTACACTCCGATCTACCCTCGCATGTTATAATAACGATGTAGCACTCACGATATTTTCTCATCGCGTGCGAAAGTACACCCGAAAGCATACTTCGTTCAGGTTTACACCAAAAGCCACCCGTTTCAGTCCAGGAATGATTATAAGATATATACGATCCTAAAAACATAAATCATTTTTATATATTAACTTTATATATATATATAGTTAATTAGAATAAAGAG